AAGGACTCCATCCTGTGAAGCAGACTTTAAATCCAATTAGAAAGTAGTTAGTTGCTCCTATAATATTTATGCCACTATTGCAACAGTGGGCATATCTTCTAGGCAAGGTGTTGTAGCTCGCAGAGTTTACAACTGGATATGTCTCATGCTGAATTTTCTCTTCAGGTAGTTTTTATAGTACTTTCAAGCACTATGAAAGCTGGATAGAGATGAGGCTTTGAGGTCAACACCAGCTTGACTTCTCCTTGTTTGTTCTACAGTTCATGTATATAGTATCTTAAAAAATAAGGTCTTTCCATGAAGTTCTGGCAAGTAACCAAAAGCAGGGGCAATAACCAGTAATTTTGATGGTCTATAGGATCCCTGGTCAACAACTTAAAAAATGGGAATCCATTCCTGGAATTGGACTTTTACTATATAAGCCTATGCTATCTAGTAGGGACTATGTCCCCTGTTATAAGGTAAAGCCTTTTGATCTCTTTTTATAATATATGTATATATTTTAAGAAGTTTATTTTTCATTTTTTACAAAAACTTTATTAAGAATTTCATACTGGCCTTAGAACAGAGTATGTTGCTAACAGGCCCAAGGACATTTTGACTTTTTAGCCAAGAAACTGGCTACATTTCATTGGGATCTTTTTACCCTAACTGCCTAGCCAATTCCTACCTCCTATTCTTATCATGCCGTCCTCTGAAGGGGTTACCCAAATTGCCAGTAGGGACACGGACTTCTTTGTTTTCTTCCATGCTGAAAAGGGATGCAGGGTGAGGCAATTGGAGTACCCCTTCAGTGGGTCTTTCTAAAAGACTCCTAAATTGCATAACTCTTATCTCTAAGGGGAAAAGAAAGTTCTTGAATCCTGACTAGGAGATGTGAAGGATAAGTAAAGGCAAGAGTAATTAGCATTACATTCCCTAGACAGGGAACTAGGGAAAAGTCAGAATAGGGCAATTTTCAAATGTTCATATGAGAGTCCATTGGAATTTCTTGACAAGGGCTAGGCTGGCCTTGAACTCACAGAGATCCACCTGCCTCTGCCTCCCAAAGGCTTGCCCCTCATCCCTTTTAATCCTTCCTGCTCTATTAATCACTTTTCTCCTTTTATAACATTGGATTCTACCTCCTCTCCCAGGCGACCCCCCCCGCCACTTTATGGCCATTTATAATTTTGACATTCTTAACTCACTCAACAAATGGAGTAAGTATGGAGTTCACAGAAATCCCTTCTCAGAGAGCCAAAATAGGTTTGCCCATAGTAATTAGAGAAACTTAGGAGATGACCTGATGTGCTTTTGTTTGGTTTATCTATTATTTAAAATTAAACAATTTATACAAAATGCTGGGAAATGAGGTGCAACTAGGGTATGCAGTGGGAAAGAGATGTGAAGAGAGATCAGTGACTTTTTTCTTCCTTGGATTGTTTACATTAAAACCTACATTAACACTTTTTGAATTTTGTAAAAGGAATTAACCACCAAGAAGGACTGACCACAAAGCATATGTGAGTGAAGGAGGAGGAGGGTTTTTCAATCCTAGAGCTTTAATTAACTAATCCTGGTCTCTCTGCCCCCTTTGATTTGTAAGTTTTATACACAACTGTAGTTAGCTCAGGAGGTCTTGTTATTCGGGTTTAGCTAAAAACTGTAGGTCTCTTCGTAGAGTTTTCTTTTTAAATTTTGATGGGGACATTGGCCGAACAAATATTTCATTTTCCTCTTAACTCTCTTTTAAGCAAACTGACAGTGCAAGTGTGGTGATGAATGGCAGCTGACAAAGTGCTTCAGTATCTGGAGACAGCAGGGCACTGCAAGCGTGGATGAATGGAAAGGTTTTATTTCCTAGCACAGGGAACAGCCATTTTGTACCTTTCTGTTGTTCTGTAGGAAGAAAGACCTGGTGTTTCTGGATCTGATATCTTTTTGTAGATAAAGTCTCTGTATGTATAAGAATTAGAAATTAGTAAAACATTGAAAATGTGCAGTTCAGACCAATGAAAATATATCATAGAGTACTTAAAAGACAACTATTAAACTTACAAATATTTTTAACGTTACTAAGTTTGACAAAAAGAAAACAACTCAGTTTCTTTTAAATATTTATGCTTTTAATTGCTAAAAACATGTAACAATCAATGGTATTAATTAAAATACAAATAAACTTGCTGTTTTTACAAATTCAAAAAAAGAAACTACATCTCTAATGAAAATATATCATAGAGTACTTAAAAGACAACTATTAAACTTACAAATGTCTGCCATGAAAAATCCACTGTGGACCTTTAATGATGTCAAACACAAATTTTTCATGGATGCTTGGTATTTGTTTGTAGTGATTCCATGCATCATTTTAGAAAATAAAAGTAAGCTTTTATATTTTATGAAGCTCTAAATTATAATATTATGAAGTTTTGCTGAAAAAAAAACTATAAGACTTGAGTTACAGAATGCCAGAGCTGTATTGGTTTGAGAAATTTTTATGTATTTTATGTTAATAGATTTTAAAAAGAGACAGAAAAGATGAAAACAGAGTTTCTGAAAGCCATGTCTCTAGTTGGTGGTAGAGTCAGGATTTGAACCCGGAATTCCTCACTCAGTTCCTATATGGGTTCAACGCTGCCTTCTCCCTCAGCATTGGTCCTTCTGATTTGCTTGGTCTGAGAAATAAGATTTAACAATGTAACCCTTTTAACAATCTTATTTAGCAATATAACCTTTTGTATAAACGTTTGTATTTATTTGTTCTGTAATGAAAAGTGCATTTTTGATATTCTACACTGCAGCAAATTAACGGCAGCTCCCTAAATGTATGCTTTGTAATGACATTTTGAATAATTTAGATTAAGCAAGAGCAGAAGTGGAATTGTCAAATCAATGCATTCTGTGACTAATAAGTTGCTAATTTTCTTAGTATTTCTTGCACTGTTCAGACTCTTTTTCCAGGACTGGACTAAGCCTCAGGAATGCTCATATTGTACTATGCTGTTTTTATTGTCTCCTAAAATTCATGAAAAGTGAGTTTTCTGTGAATCTTGTTTTGTGTCTTTGAATTTTTTTTATTCAGCATATTTTTTGTAACTAGTGAATCCTCAGACCATTTTCAATAGAACTCAGATCTTTTAACTCAACCATATTTAGAAACTAGCAGGTGATAATGCAGCTAGTTTGTTTCTGTTCAGAATCTATTTCTTGCTGCAGAAAGATGCAGCCTAAATCCCATTTTCAGTGTTTATTACCTCTCAGAAGCGGTGAGCAAGCATCTTTCCTCGTCCTTTTACTTGTCTGTCTTGTCTATTGGCTATCTATTGTCCATTGTTGTCCCAGGTTGGCTGCCAATGGCATGTTTCTCAGCCACTTAATAACTTTACTTAGACAGATTTATAAGAAGCCAAGTGCTGTCAAGTCCTTGAGATGTATAGATTGAGGCATTCCTCCTCTTCTCCACTGGTTTCAACTTTATGGTGTAAGTCTGTCTCCTTAATAGCACTTTGGTCTTAATAGAGTGTGTCTCTCAGGGTCCAGCATCCACTACATTGTTGGAGCATGTCTGATGCTCATCTCTTCTGAGCTGGACTGCAGTTAAATAGGAGCAATTTATTTCTTCTGTTGTCAATATCACATTTCATGAACCTGAAACTCATTACATGTTTTTCAAATTACCTTGCTTGGCTCTGTAAGGGCATTTCCTATTTGCCACAGATCATTCTTTTAGATTTGGAAAGAAGTGAAACTTTGTTACACTTCTCATTGGTATAATAAGGTGTCATTTAGGTAGGACTTCTGACTGTAGAAACTACTCTTGATGGGTTCAATAACAAGGACAGTGCTTGTGGAACTTTTAGCTCACAATGTAATAGAAAGACCACAGGTACATTAAGAAGTTCCTAGACATATATAAAGACCAGAAAGTTTTTCTCCAAAGGAATTTTAGAAATGTATGTAAGGGCATAACTATCAGTCTTATCAAGGCTATTCCTAGGAAGATATTATAATACCTGAGCACAAGTAACATAGTTTGTTTATTCTCCCAAGCTCATTTTATATTTCAGTTTGGGCCTCTGTTATTTTTATACATGCTTATTTAGAACAGGAATTGATCTACTAAGACCCACCCTCTGTTCTCATATGACTCAAAAGTTCTTAATTATTTTTACACTTTAAGTAGTTAGTAATCATCTGAAGAATATTATTTTATGATAAGCAAATGTTTATCAAATTCAAATTTCAGTGTCCATGACAGAGGTACACTCTGTTTGCATATTGTCCTTGGCTGTTTTCAGGTCACAATGGCATTGTTCTACAGCTGCAACAAAGGCTACTTGTCCTGAAAATCCTAAAATATAAACTCTCTGGATCTTTACAGAGAAAGTTTGTCAAATCTTTTCTCTGGAAATTAATAGTAGACAATCAGGCATAAGTCTCTTCTTTTGCCAATTCTGTTACTTAGAGGAAGTAACAGAAACTGATAGTAGAAACTTATAACAAGAATTGCAAAATCAGGGCTGGCCTTTTGCCCAGATGATGTTGCATAAATGATTTATAGAATATAGCAAAGTTTCTTCTTCCCACCCCCCAGTGTTTTAGTGTCCTGTCAAGACATAGCTATCTTATTCTTACCTGATCTCTTTCATCTTGTTGGCTTGATCATAAAGTAATAGGGTAGACATAATTTATAACAGTCTACAGAAACATATTTTACAACCACATGAGAAACTTAGAATTTAATTGGGAGGAACAATGACTCTGCTGTTTGTACTTGAGTTTGGCATTTGAGCTTTCTCATTATATTTTTAGGTAAGGATGATGAACCATCTGCTCTTTGAGGCCTGTGGTAGGAAGTTTTAATTCTGTGTGCCTTATTATAATTGAATTTACTAAATAAAGGGATTATTATTAAGGCACGATGCCAAAATTCTGTCTCTAGTGAACATTATTCATCACCCATCAGTACTACCTAGAATGAAGCACCTTGTGTGTGTGCGTGTGTGTGTGTGTGTGTGTGTGTGTGTGTGTGTGTTTATTCAACTGAAGGACAAAGACATGAAACACAGGTGCAAAAATTAGATCCTCTTTTGCAACCTAGAACTCATTGTTCAGTATGAGTTTTGATACAAAGAAGAAGGAATATAATACCAGCAGAACTGAGCTGGCCTGGCCCCCAACATGCACCAGTGGACTCTTGCTACCCATTCACACTGGCAAGGTGGAGCTGAACTGCTCTGCCTGACCATGCACCAGGTGGCACCTATGGTCTGCTATTGGATCATCATCTTCAACCAATGTTGTCAAGACCTAGCATTAAGGAATCTGAGGCGTCTACAGATTTCGGGAAATAAACTAGATGACACTGGTGGAAAGCTGTTATGTGAAGCTATGAAACTTCCTGACTGTCATTCAGGGAATCTTGCATTGGAGGCCTATGAGCTAATTAGTGCCTGCTCCGAGGACTTAGCTTCTGCTTTTACCCACAGTAAAACCCTGTTGTGAATCAACCTGTTGGAGAACACTTTGTCCACAGTGGAGTCATTGTCCCCACTGTGCCCATTGTGCTACAGAAACAGCCAAAGACTAAATGCATGCACGGACTGTGAACAGCTAACTTTGATGAGGAAAAACAAGTGTTTCTGACTACTGAAAAAAAGAGAAATCCCTACTTGATGTTCTTAAGCAGTGTGTGAGAGAAACAGAAATGAAGGGTGAAAATCTCATTTCAAAAAACCCGAGTGTATTCTGACCCCAAACCACATACAAGAGAAAGGGACCCTGCCCTTTCTTTGGCAACCTCTGTGTAAGAATTAGGAAGGCAAAAGAAAAATGAGGAAGAACCCAATGGAGGGATGCTTTTGGAAGCCCTTGTCAAGAAACTCCAGTGGACTCTCATATGAGCTTTTGAAAACTGCCCTGTTCTGACTTTTTTCTAGTTCCTTGTCTGGAACTTGTAATGCTAATTACTCTTGCCTTTACTTCTTCTTCACATCTCCTATTCATGATTCAAGGACTTTCTTTTCCCCTTAGAGACAAGAGTTGTGCAATTTGGGAGTCTTTTAGATAGACCCACTGTAGGGGTAGTCCAATTGCCTCACCCTGCGTCCCTGTTCAGCATGGAAGAAGCCAGAGCAGTCTGCGTCCCTATTCCCTATTGGCAATTTGGATAATCCCTTCAGAGGATAGTGTGAGAAGAATAGGAGGTAGGAATTGGCTAGGCATTTAGAGTAAAAAGACTCCAAAGAAATGTAGCCAGGTTCTGAGATAAAAGTCAATTAGGCCTGTGGCCTGTTAGCAACACACTCTGTTCCAAAGGCCAAAAATGTCAAAATGTCAAAAGTATTTGGGAGCTTGTATATAATCCTTAAAAAATTTTAGGGTTATCTCTTCAGATGAGGGAATGTTGGAGGGGAGGGAGTGGGCATGGATTTGATCAAAACACCTTATATGCATGTATGACATTCTCAATAAAGTTTTTGTAAAAGTCGAAAAAAAAAGAATTATAGATCACTGACACTAATGAGATACGATTTCTTGGGCATCCAGCTCAGAGGTGTTGTGTAAGACAAATGAGGCTATTCATTTGCTAATAAAAGACATGAATTCATCTAGGGAGTGGTGGGGGATTATTGGGTGATAGTTGAGGTGGGGGAGGAGCTCTGAATATAATCGAAATTCATTATATGAAATTCTTGAATCAATAAAATTTCTCTTAAAATGAAAAATAATACTATTTAGAATGAAGGAGATACATAAAACTCACTTTTGAATTAATGAATAAGGGGGCTGGAGAGATGGCTCAGTGATTAAGAGCACTTGTTCTTGCAGAAAACCTAGGTTCAGTTCCCAGCATCCACATGGTGGTTTACAACTGCCAGTAACTCCAGCTCCAGGGGATCTGACACCTTCTTCTGGCCTCCTTGGGCAATTGCACTCACATATGCACAAACATACAGTACTATTTAGAATGAAGGAGATACATAAAACTCACTTTTGAATTAATGAATCAGGGGGCTGGAGAGATGGCTCAGTGATTAAGAGCACTTGTTCTTGTAGAAG